ATATACATACAGGTAAATATTTCTGATATAATCTGTTCACTAGTATTCAAAATCAAAATCAATAGCTATACTAACGAGTAAGTACTAATTATATTATTAGTTGATTAATTCAAACTACACTATAGTTAATATGCCCTTAAAATTAGTTTTTATTTTTAAGGAATATTCCAGAATCAAACGTGACCATACTGTACATAATTTTAAAAGTGGCACATTTACAATAATAAACAAAAAACCTGAATATTCATCAAAACTTGCATTGTTTTCCCAGTCTAGTTATTTCCCATATGTTGATGATAATACTCATCATGAGTGATTCATCAGTAAGGTTTTCAATTGTATAGCGGAGTCCCATGAATATTAATTGTATTAGGGTTATTTAGGGTTATTCGGTGACAACAAAGTGTTATAATCACACTAACTTATCATTATAAAAAGGGGACAGGTTTATCTGTGATATAATGAGCTGCAAATTCTTGTGACTTCCTCTGGAATAAAGATTATTTAATTTAATTTTTCTTATTCTGCTCATTATATTGTGTTATTTTAGTTTGTAATATTGTAAACATGTTTGCATGCATGAATATAAAATAACATGAATTATTTTTCAAACAAACCAATAATATTTGTTTAAAAGATTTTTGTTGAAATTATTGTTTATTTTTAGAAATGAACTAAAATTTAATACAGTATCATTCAGTATGATTCATACGTAATTGTAATATAATCTCATAATTATTGAAAATAATTTTAAATAATTAAATTAGTTTAATTATAAATTCAAATATTTGAAATTCAACACCATGCAACTATTAAAATTAATACTGTATAATATAATACAGGTATAATAGATGATATACAGTGTATATCATAGATTCTGGCAGAAATTCTATACTGTTACTTATCAATTTTCACAAAAAATAACTATTTTTGTTGGGTATTATTAATAATACCGTATTAAAGTTAAGTTGTATTAGTTGTTTGTTTCAAAATAATATTTACAAAATTTTCAATAGCTATATGATTGGATTTAATTTAAACTGAATTTTGTCTGATAATTGATAATATGAGTTCTATATAAATTCTACTTCAATATACTGTATGTAAACAATCTTTAGATTTCTTTCTTATAATGAAATTTAATAACAATTTTAAGTGTACTCATATAAATAGAAAATAATCTGATAGTTTAATCAGACTAACATCATTTAATGTGAAATAAATCTATTAAATAGATAATTACTGGTATTACTAGTAAATATATTTTGAATCATTGATAGCAAACTAAAGTGAGATTAATTAGTATTTACTTTTTCTGCACTTCAATTCACTTCAATTCTGCGTTTATTAAATCGAGTAATGAATCGTCGATTCTGTCGTATTCATGTGTAATAATGCGATATTTGATAGTAAAATGCATGTCAGTATCAAAACGTGAATTGATTGCGAATTGGTAAACAGATATGATAATTAAGTAAATTTAAGTGTATATAAATACATCTGAGAAACACATCTGTCATGTAGTTAAACATTCATTGAAATTCTTGATTCAGTCGATTTTAATTTTGTTCATTTTACTTTTTGAAGTTTGGTAAGTTTGAAAGGGCCTTGATCTTTTCTATTTAATTGACAAATGTTTATTTAATATTTGGCATCTAATATAACTATTGCATACAATATAATAAAATACAATCATTTAATCCGTTGTAAAGACAATAATAGTTAATATCCGGAAAACATGGCCAACGATTTGGACAAAAACAATAACCAGAAGACAATTGAGCACATCATCATCAGAGGTAATCCATACACCAGAGGATTCAGTTATGGACAGCAGCTGAAGGAGAAGATTGTGGCGAATCTGCACTATTATAAAGTGAGATACACTTTGCTTGACTGGACTCAAGTCGAAGAGTTTATTAACAAGAATTACGTGAAGGCGTTGGAAAGGTATTACCCGTCGGGTCTGCAGGAGATGAAAGGTATAGCTGCCGGCGCTGAGGTCACCGTCGAGGATATCATTGCGTTGAACGCCAGATACGAATTGATGCGTTGGAACCGAGACCTCATCCGTAAGAGTCAACAATCGCCGCAAGAATTTGCCAAAAGGGTGCCAAAAGACAAGATTGAGGACATGCCTCACGAGTTGCCACAACTGCCTCACGAGTGCACTTCGGCTGTCTGTCTGTCAAAAGCCACCAAATCGGGTGATGTCCTCATCGGACAGAATTGGGATCAAAACAAACGGATGCTATCGGACGACATGGTGCTGCTGCTTGAGGTACATCCGGACCCCTCCGAGAATATGGCTCCCTTTTTCATGTTGACAGAGCCGGGAACGTTAGGTCGCAGCGGAATGAATGCCAACGGATTGGGTATTAATTGGATTTACTTTCCAAGTAATAAACTTTTACTAAACACTTACTTTTGGTATAACTTATAGGCATAACAGGAATGAGTCTCTTCTCGAGTGAAGACTATTTTGGAGACGACAGTCCCAAAGGGTATATACCCATCAGTTTGTTCAGACGCATGTTCTTAGAGTCGCCTAACTTTCCGGTGGCTGTCAAGCGTCTGATCGCCGCTCCCCGACACGTGTCCATCAATATGACGGTCGCCACCGCCGAGAACGAGGCCTTCAATATCGAGATGACTCCCAAGAATTACTTCGTGTCGTACCCGCCCTTCGAGACCGATATCATCACTCACAGCAATCTCTTCAAATCGGACTCATTTTTCGCCAACAATTCTGTGAAAGACACGTATATTTGTGGCTCATCTCTCATACGAGACCGACAAATGCAGAGAGGATTGCTCGACAAGTGGGGTAACATTGATGAAATCAGTTTCACCAAAGCCTTTACCAATCATGTTGGCTTTCCCGACTCCCTGTGCGCTCATATACCCGAGAAGGGACGGGAGGATCTGTCGACTACACCTAATCTCTGTACTGTGGCTAATATAGTCATGAATCTGACGACTAAAACGCTGAGACTCTGTAGAGCCAACCCTTGCAATGGTGTGTTTTATGAGTACACTTTCAATTGAACGAAAATTTCTAATATAATATAATTTATATATAACTTTTTACGTGATTTTACCCACTAAATCATTATTTGTACCCACTTTATTTTTATTCTTATGCAATTCAATTATGTATAATAATTGATTTATTGAAATAAAATAATTTATTAACTATTTTTATGAATGAAGTTTGTCAGAAAAATGTATTAGGCGTGATCCACAATGTACATACGCACGCTTAGGGGGGTACGCATACGCACACGCACGCGACAGGCATACGCACGGTCAAACCAAAGCTTATGTCCCATGTTAAACTCCTATGTACGATGGGCGTGTAGGGGGGAGGGGGTCAATTTTTGACCAAAATTTTGCATATGTTCAGTACTTTGTGGATGACGCCTTATTTCTACTATTGTTACTGTAAT